TTTCATAGACAATAGTAGTTTATTCTTTTGTGTTGTAAGTTTTGGTTACTCATATGACATGCATAAATGAACAATTACCTTTGTGTCTTTTGTTTAATGAAAAGAATTATTTTAAATGTTAAGTTTCATGCATGAATTTTATTGTTTAAAATGCTTATGTTTCGAAAGGCTTCTGCATGCATATAAGAGAGGGTTTATATATGATCATGAGTTAACCTTTCTTCAACATAGGTGACAACGAGCCAGGCAGAGATGGAAGAGATCAAACACGGGAATAAGAAGCAAGCTCGTTGGTTCCGCGCTCTATTCGGTCGTAACCCGGTTCGAGAACCTTCTCTTATTGGATGTTGAAGGTGCCTCGCCTCCGACCCTGGAGAACACAGGGTCAAGCCAAGCCCTGACCCGCGAGCTATCCATTCTAACCTGTCTTTGCCTAGCGATTTGCTCGGTTCGGGTAGTGTGTTGAATGCCAGTCACGTGGATTATTTTTTAAGAATATTTATAGATTAAAAAGGAGTCAAATAGACCATACCCCACATCACTTTGAATACCTTGGACTGCTGGATTATCACACTCAACTGTGTTAAGGGTGTTCAAAATATAATATATAGTTAGATGAAGTAATATTTAATTTATATATATATAGTATAATATTTCGACGAAGGATGTTCGTTTGACCACCCTTACCTTAGCGTGGCTACACCATTGTCTAAGGCCATTAGTACTTTGCACCCAAAAATCTTGATCGATCAGTGATTGAAAAAATATATGTGGAGTCACTTTTTTGAGATCGCCTTGAGGATCTAATTTCTTTTTTTATTTTGCAAATTTCAGTAGTATTTGAAAAACAAAATTGACAATACTTGAACACGAAAAAGCACATTTAGCGGCAGAAATGAAGTGGGCTGTCCCTTTAAAGACGTGCAGTAGTCTACCCACAATGTGCCCATTCTTTTGTGTTTTCTTTATGGGTGTTTAACGGCGGACTAGGACGGACTTGACACAAAAAAAAAAAAACAGCCCG